CTTTTCTTGAGAATCAAATTAGCTTATTATAATGATTTCTGAAGTGACTCTGAAGACTGGGGTAATATCTGCTAAAATGACTTCTTTAAAAAAAATTTTTTTAAATCATACCTTTTTCAACAAAAATTAATTTGAGATCAAACAATTATTGGTAGACCATCTGCAGTACTGCTGGGGAACCAATTTGCTTGGATCCTATTTAATATTCCGATACAACCTAGGGTTAATGAAAACATTTTCAAAACTGTTTTATTTCAAAACATGACTGGGCAGACTGCTGTGTTGCTCTTTTCTATTTTTATAAGAAAATAACATGCTACATAACTCTGCTCATTCTGCAGAGCCAAATACAACTACAAAATATTATCATGCTGGTATTATCTGCTACAAGCTAAAAGTTATAGTAATTTGAGAAGATCAGCTGCACAATTATAATTACATACTTTACCACTGTAACTTCACATGACAGGTGGGCAAGCGTCATGTGGCTGGTGCTCACAATATCGTTCCACTACATTTAGACCCATTGTTCACAAACAGAACGAGATCACAATGCAGCACAACAGCACTAAACAAGCCATGATGCTTACTGAAAGCAAAAATCATAATGAGAGTTGTGTGGCTTTTAGTCCATGTCTGTTAGCTGTGAAGTCATCTGCTTACTACTGTACAAAACGCTGACAAACACATATGAATTTAAAGTCCCACCCACTAATACCACCCGCACTCGACTAGCAAAGAGCAAAACATTGTTTTATGGGGATAACATAACTAAAGGCCACTAACTACAGAAAAAAAGCAGTAAGCCCTTTGACAAACTTCCTGTTTCAAAAGGAAATACATGTCAACACAGAAAAAGACAACAGTGTCTGTTGAATGATTTCATGGGGGCTTTAAGAAAACTATAAACATAAACAATACAAAGTTTTCAGTTAAGCTAGTTGGAAAAGTGAGCCAAGAAGCTTTTATCCTGCATAAATCTAAGCAGAAAGAAAATGTATATTGAATATATCTAAAAATATTGATGGTACATTCGTAGATTTAAGAACGCACTCTTAAAAATAAAGGTTCTTTATTGGCAGTGAACCTTCAACATCAATGGAACTTTTTTTTTTTGGTTTGTTTTGTTTGTTTTTTGTTGTGGTTCAGTAGATTATTAAAAAGTCATTTACACTAATAATAATTTATATAAAAAATAGTAGTTCTTTTAAGAACTGTATACTGAAAGGTTCTTTGGGGAACCAAAAATGGTTCTTGTTTGGCACTGCTGTGAAACCCCTTTCGGAACCTTTATTTTTAACATGAGTGAACAGTGAGAAACTGAATAGATTTTTGTTGATGTCACATTGCGATGATATAATGGTCCCTCAAAGGATGATGGGATGAGACCAGTGCTTATCAACCGAATAGGGAATTAAGCTGTAGCACCATCGCTCCATCACTTAATTTGAGAAGCAGACAAAGGGACAGAAATAGCCCTGGAGCGCTCCTCCCCTGCTCCTATGATCAAAGCAGACTGTTTTTGTCTGGCCTGACTTTCACCTAGGTATGCCATCCCCTTTTCATTTTTCCCTTTCCCTTTTCATCAATCATGAATTTGCTCTAAAAGACCTTTTTAGGTAAGTGGTTTCAATCAGAGGACATGAGCTGACCCTGAAGCCTCCAGCTTGTTGGGATTCTGAAGTTGAAGGACACAGAGAATAGATCACACACTCTTATTATAGACAAAAAAGGAAAATAAGGAGACTAAATGATAAGACGGTCCTTACGTGATTATTTCAGAATGGTAAGCTGGCCGTCTTGTGCATACAGTAATCAGTGTTTAGGAAATGTGTAGGAGTGTCAACATGAGGCGGCGTCTGCGTTTCCTAGAACAGAGTGCTAAAGGTAACAGAGAAGATCCGCACCAACTATACGTGCCTCTTGCAACTGTGCTGTTTTGTGCAGCATCATAAAAACCCACAAAGCATTGAGACTTCACATGGTGAAATAGACACACATTATGTTTGAAAAGGCAAGAGAAATGCAACAGGGAAAGGAAAATTTATATAGGTCTACAGGGCTGCGTAAGGTGTCTGTTCTTTCTCTCTGGCTTTTTCTAGTGCTGTCTCTTTCTGAGGGGACTTTCCCCTTTGCTGTTAGAGATTGAGGCGTTGTCTTGTGCCAGCAGAGCGTATGCTTTCACTTCCTGTCCCTATCTTATTGTTCTCTTTGTTTGAAGATGAGCAAACACTGTTATAAACCAACGTGGAGCTGATTATGAATGACAAGACCTCATGGTTGTCATAATGGACCTATTTATTTTTCTTTCTTTCATTTCTCTTTCATTCTTTCAATTAAATTTCTATTGATTTCATGATAATTTCATTATTATGATTTTTTGGCCACTATAATTGTGTAGTGAAAATCTGATATTGTGACTTGCCCTAAACTTATTGACACTGTTCACAGCAATTTTTTAGCAAATTTCAAAATATAAATTTTTATACTGTACATTGCAATGTTTTCATGCGTAAATTAACTTTTAGCATTCATTTTGGACAAAATATTGCAAAATGTTAATATTAACCACTTACTGCTCATTGGTCATAACATGAATTTAAATGAATTTATAAAAATCTATCTATAGTTGTGGTCAAAATGTTACGTACACTTTGCAATATCCGCTAAATGTCAATTACTTTACCAAAATATGAGGGATTATACAAAATGCATGTTATTTTTTATTTAGTACTGACCTGATTAACATATTCCACATAAAAGACGTTTCCATATAGTCCACAAGAGAAAATAATAGTAATACACAACTATTACAAAAGGTTCAAATGGTCACTGATGCTCCAGAAGGAAAAGCCATTTTATAAATTCAACTATTATTTTCTGTTGTAGACTATATGTAAACGTCTTTTATGTGAAATATCTTATTCATGTCAGTACTAAATAAAAAAAAAAAAACATGCATTTTGTATGATAATTAAAATTTTGCAGATACAGCAGTAAAATTTTGACCACAACTGTACTCTATCCGTCTATCTATCTATCTTTGCAGTGACAGGAAACAGGCGTTTGCTTCTGAATCCAGCACTGGGTGGAAACTACAGCAGGGTCACACACTGTCAGAGTCTATAGGGAAGGCAGCAGGGTACCAGGAGAGAGACCCTCACACAGTGTCCAGAAGGACAAAAGAGAGTCTGGGGGGTGGAATTCACTTTCTATTTTTATCCCTCCGGCTGTCCCATCTCCCCAGTGAGCGGAAGTGCTGTCCTTCGCGTCTAACCTCAGAATCCACTGGGACCGGTCACCTCATTCTCATCATGAGTGAGAGCACCCTGGGAAAAAAATCGTCTCGCCTCACTTTTTTTCCTCTTTTAACTGTGCAACGACGCATGAACCAGACAGTCTGCAGTAGTACCTTGCTGTAAAAGCAAGACTGTTCATGTTCTCCTTCCATTGCATATGCCAGTTAGCAAGAATTACCTTGTTGGACACCTTTCAAAGAAATATATAGGCCTTTGGCAGTAATATGAGCGTGTGTGTGTGTGTGTGGTGTGAATGAGTGTGTAGGAGGAGTGTGAATTTTAAGACATGCACGCAACTGTAATGACAGAAACATTGGAAAAGAAGTGTAAAACAGATTGAAAATCATGCAAAATGTTATTTTGTTATATTTTTGTCAGTATATGTCAGGAATAGTGGTGTGTCTGGTTGCATTGTATTGTTGTGACTGGAACAGAAAGCGTTTGGATGAAAGACGTCACCTATCACTGGGTTCTCCACAGACTAGAGGGAAGGAAAATACTTAATGTAACAAACTTTTAAGACACATAATAAAAGATCTTGGCAAAGAGCTTAAAAAAGATTATTTTAGACAAAAATGACATTTCTGTCATCATTTACTAACCCTAATGTTCCAAACCTGTATGACTTTCTTTCTTCTGTGGAACATAAAAGAAGAAATTCTACAGAATGTACTAGTCACTCTTTCCATGCAAACTCACAATAAAAGTATCATAAAATTGGTATGACTCCCAAACTATAATCAGAAGATACTGTTATGATATCGACTTCTCGCAAATCTCACTGAGTAAAGATGGGTGCTGAAGCCTATAGTAACACCTACACCACCATTCAAACGTTTTGAATCATTACAATTTTGTAAAGAAATTAATAGTTTTATTCAGCAAAGAATAAAACAAAAAACTTTTTTTAAACAAATAAATGCAGCTTTGGTGAGCATAAGAGACTTCTTTAAAAAAAGTAAAAATAATAATAACAATAAGCTTACAGACCCAAAACAATTAAACGGTAGTGTATAGTTTATTGAATACACACTAACTACAATTCGATAATTGTACATGATTCAAGGTTCACTTCATGGAGTACTGCATTTCTGCAACAGCAGGAAATGAGCTTTCCCAATACAGTGTCAAACTATGATCCAATTAAAGTGTAAACAATCCAGCAAAGTAATTCCAAATGTCCGCACTATTAAGTAGCTACAGATGTGGAAATAAAAATAGCAAAAAGACAGATTAGGAATGTCCTGAAGGCTATGTTGAAACATATGCCTTATTATTTTTTTCCTCTTTGAGTTGGAAATAAAGGGAGGGGGGAAAAGCACCAGTTATATGACCACCAGCAGCTGCAGTGGACAAACAGTTCTGCATTAATGCACATCTTAGTGTGTGACCGACAACCATGTGGCTCCATTACATCTCTGCCCCATAATGAGATCCAAAGCTACATCACTGGGCTGGCAGGCTCATCTCCAGAGACACAAGGACAGGAAGAAGGGGGAGGAGATGGAGAAGATGTGATAAAGAAGCATTGTACAAAACAAATATAACAAAGCTCACAAGCTGACATTTCATTAAAAACATCAGACTTATCCAAAAACATTATAATTGTATTCTTGGCCCACATCGACCAAGATCGAAATAATGTTTTTTTAAAGAAGTTGCAAAGAGCAGAATATATCATGGTTTGAATTAGCAACAGGCACTTACGTGCAGTAATAAAACAATAATAGCTTGTGCAGAAGAAGAAAAAAATGTCTTGATAAATCAATATGAGACACGTATTATCATAGCTCAAACAGAATCCCTGGTAAGAGGATATTTAGAGAGATGCGCTCATTTCTGGGAACACCAGAGCAGTGCAATAATATATTTTCACACATGCACAGCCTGTTACTGACACCCACCTATTCACACATGCATAAAGGTCGCAAACATGCACACAAGGTGAAAAACTGACTGCGTCGTATCCTTTTCTCACAGACAGGACAACAAACTCTCTGAAAAAAACAAAGTACAAAAACTGTCACTGGGCTGGTATCTTTTTTTTTACCCCTAAAGGGTGCACATTAGTATCTTAAATGTACATATTATTACATAAAACATACTACTTTTTGAAAAGGTACTGTGCTACAGACAGATTTTGTAACTTTTTTTCTGAGAGTGAAAGTTATGATTGATGATACTATACAGTTATAAGTTGTAAAACATCCAGGCACCAGAATGCCATCCTGTAATACCTGAAACACTGTATTATGTGCAGTAAACTTCTGGCAACAGGATTTTTTTTTTTTTTACAGTTACACAAAGTAATCAAAGTTGAGTGCGTTCTCTGCTAGATATTATTTTACCAATAACTAAATATAAATCCAAAGAAAGAGGCATTATGTGTTATTATTATTAATAATCTAAGTAACATAGTTAATTCTCCTAACTGTAGGCAGTTTGCGGCTGCTAATCAAACCTATTGTTCCTGTCAGTCACATAATATGTATCTTAACCAACCAGAATTTAAAGTTAGAACTGTTTTAAAAAAACAATTCATTAAATGCGTAAAACAATAGTTCTTTGTCCATAAACCTCCTGCACTTGTGACAGTCACAAAGACAGGTTGAAATCCTCTGCTCGTCTTTTTACCACAGTCATGCACACATTTGCAAAAAGATAGAGCTCTGGTTTCCTCTGCAGGGACCTCCTGCTCTCACTTTAGCATTTCCTTTGATGTAAGCAACAGTGCTAGCTTTACATGTGTATAAAAGTCTCATCCAGTTTTCAATTGTGACATTATATGGATTCCATATAGTTCATTATAAACAGGTACCAGGAATAACACCAGAGCAGCACTGACAGGGAATCTATCTGCACATCTATGTCCTGACTTGTGAATCAATGTCTCTGGCAGCCTCTTGATGAATGGTTAACATTAGCGTTGCTGTGCATACACAGTACATTTACAACCACCTCTATTAGCATGCAAATGCACACAGAGTATCCTACCTATTGAGAAGCAAGGGAATAACTCTCACCCATATACATGTCCATGTAGGGTTTTCCTTTTAACCTTTGGACTGAATAGTTGATATTAAAGGGGTCATATGACGTTGCTAAAAAAGAACATTATTTTGTGTATTTGGTGTAATGAAATGTGTTTATGCGGTTTAAGGTTAAAAAACACATTATTTTCCACATACTGTACATGATTGCTTCTCTTCTATGCCCCACCTTTCTGAAACGTGTCGATTTTTACAAAGCTCATCATTCTGAAAAGCGAGGTGTGCTCTGATTGGCCAGCTGTACAGTGCGTTGTAATTGGCCGAATACCTCAAGCGTGTGACGGAAATGTTACACCCCTTACCATACTGTGATGCCTTGTCCCGGACAAGACAAAAAAAATAAAGGTGCGTTCACGCCATATCGGAATTCCCGTAATTACGAGATTCCAACTTAATTTATTGTAATTACAACTTGTGAACTGGGAGTTCCCCTTCAGGAACTTGAGCTGCGTCGGAAACGCTAGGGGAACTTTATTCCCGCCTCCGATTATTATGGCAATGTGGCGGGGATGAATGAGCGCAGTTATAAGACGATGCCCCGGGTAGAGCAGATGCTTGCGAGCTATCTGTCTCCCGGCGCGGCATCGTCTCTAAAGGTTCTGGCATTGCCCTCCAAGCCGCTGCGCACAACTTCAGCGCGGGTGAGCGAAGGGTACTTGGCAGCGGGTCAGGCTAGTGCGTGTCTGCACACCATGGCGGTGTTACAGGCATATCAAGCCGACCTGCTAAAAGAGCTAGATGAGGGTGAGCAGGTAAAATCTGAGGATATTACCGAGCTCAGGAGGACCGCTGATTTGTCTCTCCGCGCCACTAAGGAGACCTCTCGTGCCATTGGCAGGTCTATGGCAGCTAGGGTGGCAGCGGAGAGGAATCTATGGCTGACCTTGTCAGACATGAAAGAGAGAGACAAGGTCTGCCTAATGGACGCCCCGCTTGCGCCTTCTGGCCTGTTTGGCGACGTCCAGCGGTTTCTCCCTCGCCACTCTCTAACTCTGGGGGCTGCTGGGCGAGAGTAGCCCCCTCCGGGTACCAGCTCCACATACAGGGGTGCGTAAAAACAGAGCGTGGCCTCGCATGCTTCGAGGCGACGCTCTAGGTCGGGGGCATCTAAGGCTAAGCCAGATCTGTGGACCGTACTTAAGTCTAAGAGGTCCTCAGCCAAAAAGTCCTGACGCCACTGGCCCAGGACTTATGAGGGCAGTCCCCTCTGGGGTGCAGCGGGTTACACCGCATTACACGGTGTCCGTCTCGCCTCAGTGCCCTCTGGAGATCGATCTGCTAACCCTGCCAGAGTTACAGGGCGCAGCGGTCTCCCGCGAGCGCCACTCTCAGTCACTGCCCGGCAACGTAGCGGTGCTAAGAGGCTCGCCACCTCCGCGGAGGTCTCTAGAGCAGCAGGTTCGATTGTTCCCTGCCGGTTCGCCGTTACAGGGCACCGAGCTGGCTGCTCATATTACACCAGAGATCAGTCTCGAGAGACTGATTCCCTTAGTAGACTTTTTGGCAGAGTGGGAACTACTGCCAAATGTGTCTCAGTGGGTCCTGCACACAGTAGAGAGAGGCTACAGAATCCAGTTTGGTTCTCCTTCGCCTCTTTTCAATGGGATTACGCCCACACTGGTGGGCCCCGAGCAGGCTCTAGTCATGGAACAAGAAGTAGTTACTCTTCTGAGGAAGGAGGCCATCGAGGTGGTCCCTCCTCATGTGAGGCAGTCCGGGTTCTACAGCCGGTACTTCATAGTTCCGAAGAAGGATGGGGGGTTGCATCCGATTTTAGATCTATGTCAGTTGAACCGCTCAGTAATGTGACTGAAGTTCAGGATGCTTACTATCAAGCAGGTCGTGTCTCAGATCAGGTCCAAGGACTGGTTTGTCACGATCGATCTAAAGGACGCATACTTCCTTGTATCCATCCTTCCCACTCACAGAAAGTTCCTGAGGCATCCGCTTACTAAACTATATCGACGATTGGTTGATCTTAGCTCAGTCAGAGCAGATGGTGGTTCGACATCAAGATGTCATTCTCGCCCACATGAGAGAGCTGGGGTTAAGAGAAAACACCAAGAAGAGTGTGCTTTCTCCATTACAGAGGACCACTTATCTAGGCGTGGTGTGGGATTCGACCACGATGCAGGCACGTATGTCCCCTGCTCGTATCGAGTCGATCCTCACCGCAGTCGCGAGAGTCAGAGAAGGCCGGTCACTCGCTGTCAAGCAGTTTCAGAGACTGCTGGGTCTGATGGCAGCTGCGTCCAACGTCATACCTATTGGCGTGCTGTACATGAGGCCCCTACAGTGGTGGCTCAAGACCAGGGGGTTCTCCCCGAGGGGAA